TGCACACGTTTTGTTCTTCATGTGCACAATGTTATATTACGAGTACATAATTCTTATTTTTTAAATCGTTAATATGGACAAATCAATGGCTCAGATCTCTTCACATGTTTTACTTATACTGTGCGTCTATATATATATATATATATATATATATATATATATAATGAAATCCAGCCACAAGAATATATACATAGTTTGACAATGCACACAAATAAAAGAACAATTTTATGAAATAAAATTGGTCCCCTTCTACTTTAATTTCTTCATACTAGTACTGGAGCAACAAAGTCTAGTAGGGGACCATTCCCCAAAATACTTCTATACCATAACACACAATGGTCAATTTTTTTTAGTTATTATTTTTAAACTTTTAGTCAAATTCTTAATTTTGCATAGTTATAATCAATATATATATATATATATATATATATATATATATATATATATTGGATTGAGAATTGGGTTTATAACTAACTTTTTAATCAATTTTGAAATCTAAAAAATATTCGTCAATGTTACTGACTATAAACAGACAATGTTTAAAAAATTTTGATCGAATAGATCAATAGACGATAATTGAATTTTCATCCATGAATGGCCCGAAACAACAAAAATAACAACAACAATAAAAGTTAATGAGTTAATTGTCCAACATTAATAATAATTGTGGTTGGTGATGGATACCCCGCCGGTGTTGCTAGCAGCCAGGTGGGGCACGGTAGTAAACAGCTAGTCCGTCAAAACGTGACCAATCAGTCTTGGTAGCCAATCATAATTTGCAGTCAGTCAGCTCAAGTAACCAATTACCCTTGATGGTATAAGAAGAAATTAAGTAGAAACAGTGAGATTATGGCAAGTCAACCTATGCAAACTACTTTTTCTAAATATTATTTTCTTCCCTATATCATCTTCCACATCAACCCTCCATATATATAAAAATCATTAATTTTAAGTGTTAATTAAATGCTTAAAACCGAAGATTATGTTATGTAAAATTGGACTTCATTACAGAAATGTCCATTGACCATTGATATTTACTAATTTGTATATTTTGACTTTCAATTGAACCATAAATGGTCCATTGACTATTGATTTTATTTCAAATTTGATCATTCAGTTAAATATTTATTTAATAAACATTAAATTTAAGAATAATAATGTAAAAATGAGCTTGTTGTTGAGATGGACAAATTGATTTCATAAATTTAATACATTGAGTTTATCATTGTAAATAACTAAATTTTTTATATGAATATCCTTAAATTTAATGTTTATTAAAACGATACTCCGTATTTAACTAGATGACTACATTTGGAAAGAAAAAAATCAAAAGTCAAAGGACCACTTATGATTAAATTGAAAGTCGATGACAAAAATGGAAAAATATCAATAATCAATTGATCATTTATAGTCTAATTGGAGGTCAAAGGATACAAATTAATAAATGACAATAACCAATGGACTATTCATGGAATTAACTCTGTAAAATTGTACTCCGTAACATTCTTCTTTAAGAATTCAACAATTTACATTCTCTAAGATGCAAAATTTATTTCATTGTGAAAAACAACCCTTCAAATTTACAAAATAAATTAAAAGTTAAGAGTTTCGAAAAATTAACAGCCAAAATTAATATTTATGTAATCTCAATGATTGATTTCGCCACAATACTGATGAGGAATCAGATTTGGTGACCTGTATTATTGATGGATGGAATTGACTACTTACCTACAATTAAAATATCAACTTTTTTATTTTTCACGTAGAAAATAAAAATAGTGAAAACTTTTTGAAAAAAGTTATAAAAAATAATTGAGAAATGTTTTCGATTACTAAACACTTCAAATTGTTAGGTGATATATATAATTGAATGTCAAAGACTAAAAAAACTAAACTATACCATAATTTTGACAATCCTTATCCCACGGATCAGGGTTCACAATGTATTGTGGACTTTGATGCATATAGCCATATATATATATATATGTGTGTGTGTTTTATATTGTGTTTTTTTTTTTTTTTTTTTTTTTTTTTTTTTTTTTTTGTATTGTGTTATGAAATTCTGTATCTTAAGAATATGAATTTTGTACTTGAAACAAACTACTAATTGTGTTTTATGTTCATTCATTTCTGTGTCAAATTCTGTGCCTATAATACAAATTATGTACCTAAATCAGATTTTAAAAATAAGTAAATATATAACATGTGTATATGTATTGTGTTGTGATTTTTGTATCTTGTGTTATAAAATTATGTGTCTTATGACTTTTGAGTATGAATTATGTACCTCATCATTTTGATTAAGAATCTATAAATTGCCTTATTTTGAAAGCAGAGCTAAAGTCATTTTAATTCTACTTTTAAATTCTCACATTTTGTGTTATTTGCAATTAAGTTAAGAAAAAAAAAAAAACTAATGGATATATATAAGTTATAATTAAGCTTTTTTTTTTTTGGTGGATAAGTTATAATTAAGCTTTGCATATAGAGCCTTGCAACTAAAACAATTATATATATAACTAAAGAAACAACAATATCGTAAAATATTTGTACCACTTAAATAAAAGATATTTTATTAAATTTGTAAATACTTATTCTATCCCCGTACCCCCCCCCCTCCCCCCCACCACTCCCCAAAGAAAACCCCAACCTACGACATCTCCACATTTTGGAGCATTCAGTTCAAAAGTAGTTAATTTGTTTTGTATTAGATTATAATAGGAAATATTACTACAATTGTTGTTTTAGTATGTATGACATTAAACTTAGATAACGCAACTTTCTCACCAATCAACTTCACCTTTCCTTACTATTTTTAATTTGCCAGCAAAGAGGTGTGTGTACAGTCGTGTATGTAGCTATAGTTATTTATTTTTATTTTTTTGGGGGGTCCAAATGTCATATCAGTTTACTGGTGATGGACATTTTATATTGGAGCAATGTAAGTACTTGGGTGAAATGCATCCTATGTTTTAAACAAAAATGAATAAAATTTTACCATGTTACGAAAAGACTAGTGGCTCACATTACTTGCATTTTAAAAATAAATATTATTGATCTAAAAGAGAGATGATCAAGTAAGTGGATGATGATGATTATTGTATCTGAAAAGTTATGAGTTAGGATTTGAAACTTATGATTAAAAGTGGAAATAGATTTTTTATTTTTATTTTTATTTTTTTGGGGTGGTTTTGAATTATGAGAGCATTATTAATCGTTGTAATTTTTGAGAAGTTTTTGCAAGCGTAATTAGAAAATGGAATAAAGGTCAAATAGGTTATCCAACTACACACGATAATGCAATTAGACTACTGGACTAAAAAAAAAAACTACAATTGAGTCCCTAAACTAACCCATTTCAAGCAATTTGTCCAATTTACAGGTTTTTCCTCTTTCTAATCGGTCGCCCAATTTAAAGTATTTTTTAAAAATAATTAATTAAAATAAAATAAATAAAAAAAATTAAAGAAAAAGTGATGAGAGTAGTTTGGTTATTTGTTGGTCTTCTTTGTCATTCTCTTCTTCATCGCCGAATTTCGACGGAGAGTGGGAGAAGTCGTCGGAGCTGGTCTCAGAGCCCAGGCTTTCAGTGCAGATCTTGAGGCTTCTCTCGGTCAAAGAGCTAGTCGTTATTCTCTTCATGAGAGGATGAACATAAAGGGGAGGAAGCTTAAAAGAATCCTTAGTGTTTTGAGACACCATAATTGAGCTCCAAGACTCGTATGACCTAATTAATGCTGGTTTTACACCATCATTATGAGGAAGCTGCTTCTGTGCGGCTTGGATTGCTCTCTAAACCTCATCTTGCCTTGGCCTGCTGAGGTCATCTTCTTCATGGCCGGAGAAAAGGGTGGTGATCGTCAACGAAATCACCGGAGTAACCAACCTTCATTATGGCCGCCGGGAAGGTCGAGAAGCTAGTCTGCCATGGAGATGAAGGTACGGAGCTGTTGCCGTCGACCAAGAGGGGGAGAACTCAGGTCCGCCGTTGCTCACCGCCGGAGGAAGGGAATGAAGGCCGCTGCTTGCTGTTGTTGTCCAACTGCCGCCACCCACAGCTCATGCTGGTTCACGGATACGCCGAGGAAGATGGAGGCCGGAGACAAAGACCATCACTGCCCGCCAGATGATGTTTTTCTTTTATTTATTTATTTATTTATTTATTTTAGTTTAGTTTATTTTAATTAATTAATGTTAAAAAATATTTTAAATTTGGATGACCTGTTACTAAGAGGGAAAACCTGCAAATTAGACAAATTGCTTGAAATGAGTTAGTTTAAGGACTCAATTGTAGCTTTGTTGAGTTCAGTGACCTAATTGCATTATCGTGTGTAGTTTAATGACCTATTTGACCCTTATTCTAGAAGATGTGAGGAAAGAGAGGGAAAAAAAAACAAGTTTGACAATAACAAAAAAAAGTATATCTTTCCGGCCCACTCAACGTGCTAGTTGCGTTAAATGTGCGGGTGTTGTATAATTTTTTTCTCTACCCGAACTTTACATTTTCAGACAAATCACTCCTCATGTAAGTATCTCATTTTTTTCTCTCTCTTTATTCGCTGTCCTTCATATCATTATTGTTTTTTAAAAAACTACCTAAAAATCACTATTCGAGATGACATGATGTAGAGAGGTTAAATAAAAAAGAAGTTTTACGGAGGTAGGTAGGTAGCTATAAGTTAGATTTTGACTGCAACAGTTAACAGTGTTGAATCAATATTGCATATGGTACAACTACTTTGGCTAAAGACTAAAATATCTTGCTTTATTTACTTTCTTTCCCTTTTATAATTCTAGTTTGGTTTTCTTCTTATTATTATTATTTTTATTTCCATGTGAAATATTATATCTGAAGGTCCGTACTCTGACAACGACCACTGAAGGATGGTGGCACATGCCTCCTGTCAAATCTGACGCCATTCAACGGCTGTGATCATCCGTACGGCTTCATCGACGCCTCAGGTTCCCCTCTTCCACAACACCTCTGTACTCTCCTCCTTCTCTCTCATCGCTCATCGTATTCTCTCTCTCTACTGCTCTCTGCTCGACCTTGGTCGGGTGGGCTATAAAGAAAAGAGAGACCCCTTTCTTTCTTTCTCTCTCTCTATCTTTCTCTCTCCTCAAACGTCAGTGAGGACAGCGATTGCCCACGAAAAAGCTGTGAGTTTCAGCTGAGTTTAGCTCAGCTGAGCTAAGCGAAGCCTCCGCCATTCAACAAAAGCCAAAGGGCATCGCCAGGATTTTCTCTTTTTTAAACTCTTTTTTTAAATTTTATTTTTAATTTTTTGTTTTTCTTTGTCCATGGAGGTTTTGGAAAAGGAAAAGTGGGCTGAGCTGGGTTGATCTTCGGGTTGGGGTTTAAACGGTGCTGATTGCGAGCTGAGATTGGGGATTTCCGGCCCGGGTTTTTGGATTAATGCATGTCTGTCTAGATTCGGGTTTGAAGTGAGGATGGGGATGAAATGTGGGGCTGGGATGAGGGTGTTGAATTGGGTAGAGGGTTTAGGGTTTGACGAGTTGGACTTGCGAGTGGATAATTATAATTAAGGTTTTAAGTATAATACTTATATATATTTTATAGAGATAAAGGTGGATAAAATATGAAGCTTTCAACATCAGGGATGGGTCAGCAGGCTCATGAAGGTATCTACTATCTACTATCTACTATTACTTCTGTAGTCTTTCAGTCTTTCTGCACTTTTTTTATTTTATATTTTTAAAAAAATTTTCTTTTGAGCTTAATCTTTTTAAATTATAAATTATAGTATTTGTTTACACCATCATATTTGTGCTTTGACTTGATCAAATTGATTGTTAGTAAGAAGATATTGTTTTGAATTTTTTAAATTATATATGGTGCTGATTGGATCTTTCTTGGTCTTCAATGATGAAAGGAGAAAATAATAAGTGCTTGAATTCAGAGCTATGGCATGCTTGTGCTGGTCCTCTGGTGTGCCTTCCAATAGTGGGGAGCCGGGTGGTTTATTTCCCTCAGGGTCATAGTGAGCAGGTCCCATTTTGTCTAACCATTGCTTTCTTGTTCACAATAATGTAGGGAATAGATGATACAAGTTCTTATATTAATTTATATAACTGGATGGTCCTGTGCTGAATTGACTGGCAGGTTGCAGCCACTACTAATAAAGAAGTTGATGCTCACATACCCAATTACCCAAACCTGCCTCCACAGTTAATCTGCCAACTTCATAATGTTACAATGCATGTAGGTTTTATTATATTCCTTCAATGATGCCTCTCTTAGCTCCTTATAAATGAATGTACTTTGCTCGGTTTGCTGTTGATGTTCTATTTAGCCTAATAAAGAGTTGTTAATTTGTGGACTTTCAGGCAGATGTTGAAACAGATGAAGTGTATGCTCAAATGACATTGCAGCCCCTCACTCCAGTACTTTTCATTCATCTTAATTAAAACTCTTTCAATTCTTAGCTACCAGGAGGCTTCTTTCTCTAGAGTGGGTGGCTAAAGTTGGTGTTTTTTATTTCTGTTTTTCAGCAAGAACAAAAAGATGCATATCTTCCTGTTGAGTTGGGAATTCCAAGCAGGCAACCTACTAATTACTTTTGCAAGACACTTACTGCAAGTGATACTAGCACACATGGTGGCTTCTCAGTTCCTCGCCGTGCTGCAGAGAAAGTTTTCCCACCCCTGGTAATAACTGCTTTAGTACCCTATTCTCACAGCATTATTTTTTTTTTCCCAACAGCGCGATGGCATTTTCATTTTTGTATTGCTTCCTTCAGGATTTCACACAGACACCACCTGCACAAGAACTCATTGCAAGGGATCTGCATGATGTTGAATGGAAGTTTAGGCATATTTTCCGAGGTAACTTGTGTTGGGAGGAGGTGTACCTAGAATTTATGTCACTTATAGCATGATTTGTTCACGGAATAGGATGAATATATATATATATATATATATATATATACACACATATATATGGAAACAAGATCCTTAGTGTATATTTGGAAATTTTTTGCTACACCATATATGAGGAAAATAAGATGCAGCCCTAGTTACTATCCTTGCAGCTTAGGAATTCTCAAGATGGTAGTCCAGTTTACTTGTTATGGATTGCCTAGTCTACTATAATTGATTAATTGGAATCTTTGCAACTTCCTTTAAAAAAATATCAGTAATATTCAGAAATCATTTATTTTAATTTTAATTTTTTTATAAGTAAAAATTCAGATTTCACTATGTGCTATTTCTCCCTGGTTCTTCATTTACTTCATAGTGATTGTTTGGTGGTGGCTATTAGCCACCTGTTGGACTGTTGTCTTATTGTTTCTAAAAAATTGTCTTTCTAATATAATTAAATATGATAGGAAAGAGTATTCCTTTTCCTTTACCATCTAGTGCTGTGTCATTTGCAGTTTTGGGTATTACACTTATCTTATAATGTCCATTATGTCAAGCAAATAAAGGAATCACTCCTGCATGTATTTGAAAGAATACATTAATATAAGAAAACTGACAAATTTACTTGTACTTTCTAAACTTTCTTTCTCTCACGCCATGGTCTACTCTTGTTTGTGTAATTATGCAGGGCAGCCAAAGCGGCATCTTCTGACTACTGGCTGGAGTGTGTTTGTAAGTGCCAAAAGGCTTGTTGCTGGAGATTCTGTTCTTTTCATCTGGTATTCATTTCTATTGTCATTGTTTGATTTTAATGTTTTACAATTTTGCATATACTGTGTCTGAACTTTGGGTCTGTTCTGTTTTCTATTGGATACATGGTCTTTCATTGATTTTGTGACAGGAATGAGAAAAATCAGCTGCTTTTGGGGATTCGCCGTGCCATTAGACCACAAACTGTAATGCCATCATCGGTGCTGTCAAGTGACAGTATGCACATTGGACTGCTTGCTGCAGCCGCCCACGCTGCTGCTACTAATAGCTGTTTTACTGTCTTCTATAACCCACGGTAGTGAAATTTACTTTATGTTATTTCTATGCATTTATTTGTTGTTTGTATTCACACAATGATCATGTCAGGGCTAGCCCATCTGAGTTTGTCATACCACTTTCGAAATACATTAAAGCCATATGCCACACTCATGTTTCTGTTGGAATGCGCTTCCGGATGCTATTCGAAACAGAAGAATCAAGCGTTCGTAGGTACTTTACTTGTTTGGTACTTGTTGTTTTCTATCTAAAATATTGGTTGTTTTCTTTCCTCTCTTGATTGTTCACTATTACTATCTGCAATTAAGTATGGGCAGAATTGGTTTATGCTTATTGAGTTCTTATTAGTTGTGCTGTAGGCATTGCTTGATAGTTGGCAATCGTTATATCGTGGACTAGGATCAACAGTGCACTGTGGACCCTGGTCCAATACACAGAATTCATGTTCATAATACACATACACATAAACACAATATAATGAACATGAATTCTGTGCATTATGAACATGAATTCTGTGCATTATATAGCTGAGGACACATAAACACTTAAACATAATACACAAAATTCATGTTCATAATGCACATAATTCATGTTCCTTATATCGTGTTTACGTGTATGTGTATTATGAACATAAATTCTGTGCATTATGAACATGAATTTTGTACCTTATGAAGTCAAATTTTGTGTATTGGACCAGGGTCCACGATATAAATTGCTGATAGTTGGTGGCCTCTGGCCAGTTAGCGGATTTGCATCTTACTACAAAAGCAATAAAAACCATGCATATTATTGGAAATTTGGAATAGATTTAATTTCTTTCAGATGATACATTCCAAAGATTTGGGGGTTGGAATTTTCTGCAGTCTTAAGCCATACATATAAGCTTCTCTGCTTGCATTTTGAGTCCCATATCATGGTTGATGTGCTAGTTGCTTTTGATTGCAAAAACTATAGAATAAAAATACTATTTATATGTTTGGCTACTGTTATAATTGAAGCCATTTCTTTTCAGATTCATATTTCAAGGCTATCATTTAAAAATGCTTCTACAGTGAATATTTTCCAAAAAACTCCATCTTACATGTAGATGCTTACATTGCTCAGATACATGGGTACTATTACTGGCATTGGGGACTTGGATCCAGCTCGCTGGCCAAATTCTCACTGGCGGTCTGTCAAGGTAAAGAAGTTTAATTTGACGTCATTTTCTTTTTATTTGACTATTTAGCTTTCTTTTCGTATTTATGTTTTATGCATAGCAATTTAAGGGTTACACTACTTACTTCAATGTTACATAAAACTATTTTCCAGGACAAGTTTTATTTGCTGTTCATTTTCCCTTTCCCCACGCTCTCCACCCAACTTCAGGAAATTGTGTTAAATTTCTGAACTTCACATGATAAAGAAAGACTTGAAATTTTTACTTTCTTTTTGACTGAATGCTACCATTCCTTATTTTAATCTTTCTCACGCTTCAGAAACTTTATTGATTTCTTATGATCCAAAATCATAAATGTATATGGCCTGATTATACCTGACTTTTGCATTCTTAGGTTGGTTGGGATGAGTCGACTGCAGGTGAAAGGCAACCAAGAGTATCATTATGGGAAATCGAGCCGTTGACTACTTTTCCCATGTACCCGTCCTTATTTTCCCTTAGGCAAAAACGGCCTTGGTATCCAGGAGCCTCATCTTTTCAAGGTACATTATGTTACTAAAGGTTCGCGCACCCCTTTTACCTTCTTGACAAGATGAATCAGCGAATCCTAATTTCTCTTCTTACAGCACAGTGATAAATACACATTATAAAATATTAGATAGTGGAGAAGCTAAATTTAGATCGTCTAAATTTTGCCAACCCTCCAATAAAAGGAGGACTATTTTCTTTTTTCTTTTTTTGGTCAGACCACGAGGTGTCCTGAGCAGGCCCTAACTGTAGGAGGCACCTTTAAGCTCATACCATACTCAGACTAATCCCCGTTTTCACCGGGCCGGCCCAATTAAGGGGCAAAGTGTTGGCCAGATTGATTTTTCCATACGAGAGGGGGTTCGAAAGAGGACTATTTTCTAATTATATGTATATCTGTTAACCGATGAAATCATTGGTCAAACTTTTTGTTTCAAAGTTTTTCTTTAGATATGGTTATCGTTTCAGTATGATGTTATTGCAGACAGCAATAATGAAATGATTAATGGAATGGCATGGCTGAGAGGGGGAGGTGGTGAGCCAGGACCCCGTTCCTTGAACCTTAATTCTTTTGGTATGTTTCCCTGGATGGCACAGAGAGTTGATCCATCGATGCTCCAAAGTGATCTTAATCAGCAGTATCAAGCTATGCTGGCTGCGGGTCTGCAAAATCTCGGAGGTGAAGATTTGTTGAAACAACAACTTATGCAATTTCAGCAGCCGGTCCAATATCTTCAGCCTTCGGGTAGCCATAATCCATTGCTACAGCAGCAGCAGCAGCAGCAGCAAGTAATCCAACAAACTATGTCTTCACATATGCTACCTGCACAGATGCGAATTTTATCGGATGGCCTACAAAGGCAACCACCACAGCAAACCAACAATCAGACCGAGCAACAGGCCCAGCAGCATAATTACCAGGAAGCTTTCCCCATCACAAATGACCACCTTCAACACAGACCACTTTCAAATATTCCTTCCCCGTCATTTGCTAAACCAGATCTTGCAGAGACAAACTCGAAATTTGTCTCACCGGTTTCCCCTTCCAATATGCAAAGTATGATGGGTTCCCTATGCCCTGAAGGGAGTGGTAATCTTATGAATTTCAATAGGACGACTAGTCAGTCTATGCTCAATGAACAGCCACCTCAAAGATCCTGGATGCTTTCTCCGAAAGCTCATGGACAAATGAGTGCTTGTTCCAACTCAACGTCGTCACCAACTTATCCTGGGAAAGATGTGTCTATTCAGCAGGAAAGTAGTGGTTTTGATACCCGAAATCAAGTTATTTTCGGTGCTAATGTAGACTCTCTTGGGCTCCTCCTTCCCACCACTTTGTCAAGTGCTACTAGTGCTTCAGTTGATGCAGATGCAGACATGTCCTCGGTGCAATTAGGGGCTTCTGGGTTTCAGAATTCTCTGTATGATTACATGCAAGACTCTTCCGAGTTGATGCATAGTGCAGGACCAGTTGACCCACTTACCCCAACTAGTGCATTTGTCAAGGTGTCAAGTCTTTACCCTTGAATTCAAAAATCTTTATTACAACGGACTACATTTTTCTCATCATTTTAGTTTGGGGTTGAGTATTGCTGTTTGTTTATTCAGGTTTACAAATCGGGATCTGTTGGGAGGTCACTGGACATCACCCGGTTCAACAGCTATCATGAGCTTCGTCAAGAACTGGGTCAGATGTATGGGATCGAAGGGTTGCTTGAAGACCCTCAAAGATCAGGCTGGCAGCTTGTATTCGTCGACAGGGAGAATGATATTCTTCTTCTTGGAGACGACCCATGGGAGTAAGTAGTTTCTGGACACTTATTTATACAGCTTTATGAGATATCTTCCTTGTTTTCACCTTTTGGTAAATGCCGTTTTAGAACTTGTACTACTACCCATGTCGAGTTCTGACTGAAATATTTTCAGGGCTTTTGTGAATAATGTGTGGTACATCAAAATCCTTTCACCCGAGGATGTGCAAACACTGGGGAAGCAAGAAGCTGAGTCCCTTAGCCGGAATGTGGTGGAAAGGATGAACACTAGCGGTGCTGATGGTCGGGACTTTCTCTCTGGACTTCCATCTCTAGGATCGCTCGAGTACTGAGATTCACCTTTACCTTTGGTATCTTCCAAAGATCTGCCTCATATCATATCCCCACCAGACTTCATTAGCTTTGGTCTGTCTGTCACAGTCTCCCATTTGTATCCTGTAGTTTTCTTTTGCAATGGTGTTGTAGGAGTTAAGTCTCCTTTTACTGAAGAGGTTAAGTCTCCACGATCAGACATCTTTTAGATTGCGAATCTGAACCTCCTGAAATTTCTTGCTGTTTCTTCAAAACCTTAAATATAAATTGCTTATCTTGCATTGTCTCTTTTTCTTTTAGCTTTCAAGAACATATTCATGTTTCTCCTTGCATTAGGGTTTGTTTTGGCACAAGTAATAAATGTCTACATTTCAATTCCCAGTTATTACCCTTCTTATATTGTCTTCAATATCCAATAACCACAATTAATTTTGGTCGTCACGTCACGGGAAAAAGTGACCGGTGTCGCCTCTTTCTCAAAAAGGAAAAAAGGCGATTGGTATTACCTTCTTCTTGAGGAAGGAGTTGTTGGAACCCTAATTACTGGGATATTACTGGTGGATAACTCGGTTATTGGATCTAAATGCACAAAAATGACAAGTTAATACATTTAATTATAATTTTTTAAAATTTAACGACTTAATTGATTTACCGTATAAAATTCAAAAATATCTTTCACCCAATTATAAATGATGCCAAGCATAACATATTTTTAGGGTATGCCTAAAAGTGTATCTTTGGCAAAAGCCCAAGGCAACTTTATAGAATTAGAGATGAGATTCTACTTTTAAGGAATGAGAGTGACTGCAACTACTACTATTGGATCTGTCAAGCCATTTGGAATTCAATTTAAAGTAATCTGATCTGAGCAATAACTATTGAGTGTACACTGCAGAGCTATCCAGAGAACCTGTAAAGGTTGAGGTTTCAGTTATACTAGAATCTAAGCTGGTTGGAGCCATGGAAGGCCACACAAATGAAGGCTTGAAGGGTGGAACATGTGGCACAGGTAAAAATCCTAGTATCATTTGAACTATGGCCGATGTTTGTGGCCTCTGGTTGGCAATAGGATGTGAGCAAACCAGCCCAAGGAGCAGCAGCCTCTCAGCTTCCTCTGACAGAATACTCGTCTCCCAGTGTCCCATCAACTGCATCTACAATCCGTCCATCACGGTGTAAGTGCCAAACCCAATCTACCAAGTATTGAAAACCGCCAATCGAGGCTCCAGCCCGCTTGCCACACACTACTTCCAGCACGACCGCCCCAAACGCGTAGACATCAGATTGTTGAGTGGCCTTTCCGGTGTGGAAACACTCGGGCGCAATGTAGCCTATTGTGCCCGTCACTCCCGCGGTCTCAGAGTAGGAGGATCTCTCGTTCTCTAGCGCCCGTGCCAGGCCAAAGTCGCCGAGGCGGGCGTTGAAGCTGGAGTCGAGCATGATGTTGCTTGGCTTGAGGTCGCGGTGCACCACTTTCTGCTCGTACTCGTTGTGCAGATAGTGCAAGGCCGAGGCGACCCCGGATACAATCTTGTATCTGAGGTTCCAGCTGAGAGGATCTCTCCCTGACTTTGAGAACAGATGCTTATCCAAACTCCCATTAGGCAAGTACTCATACACCAGAAGCAACTTCCCATGCTTATTGTGGCACCATCCTGTCACAAACATACATACATTATATACTCACATGTTTACTTTATTATTGCTTCACAATCCTCCTTGTACACACACACCAAACTATGCAAGCATGGCTAGAAAAGCACACATTTCTTTCACTACAATTGGATTGGATTCTCTCTATTGAATTCTTCTGCTAGTTTTCAGGATTGTTCATTTTGAGATTAACAAGAACAAAAAAGCAACAACAATGACAGAAAGTAAAGAAAACAAGATTTATGTAGTCTGACAAGATTGTGACCCTAAATATGTACTTGTACAAAAATACCCTTGTACTATACTACAGATGCCGATCGGCTCTGCTCTGTTCCGTACATATGAGACATACTCAACAATTCACTATATATATATATATATATATATATATATATATATGTGTGTGTGTGTGTGTGTGTGTGTGTGTGAGAACCAACCTTAACTTGCGAATTGTAAATTTGTGAAGGATTGCACTATAATTACTACATGATTGCATTGCTACGGACTTTCGGGTGCAGTGCAATCATGTTGTAAGTGCGATGCAATCCTACACAAGTTTGAAGTTCACAGGTTAAGATTAGTTCTCATCTGATTATATATATATATATATATATATATATATATATATATATATATATATAGTCACGTGAGAACCAAACCTTAACCTGCGAATTACGAATTTGTGAAGGATTGCATTACTATAGACCTTGGGGTGCAATCGTATCCGGGTGCAGTGCAATCATAGAGTAAGTGCGGTGCAATCTTCACAAGTTTACAGTTTGCAGGTTAAGGTTGTTGTAATTTGATTATGGATACATATATATACACACAACAATGATCACTTTGCACTAGCAAGAAACAGAATCATCAAAACAGGTGTAATTCAAGCTATAATAACAAGGGGATTTGATGATTGTTAAATGAAGATGATGATGAGGAGAGGGAATTTAACATGAGTGAAAGAAAATGTACCAAGAAGCTTGACAAGATGCTTATGGCGGAGGCGATTAATGATGGTAAGCTCAGCCAAGAAATCATCCTCTTGTTTGATGCTATCTCTTGAGAAAAACTTCACTGCAACCTCCAAACTCTCTCCAGCCAAAACCCCTTTATAAACCACCCCAAATCCCCCTTCTCCAAGCTTGTTCTTCTCATCAAAATTATTAGTAGCCTTCTTCAAATCCTTGAACTCAAACCCTCTTGCTGTTCCAGGCAAGGACTGGAGTGCACCCAATATTGCTGATTTAGATCTCAGCCTCCTTTTCTTCCACAAAACCCAGCCTCTCCCTATTAGAATCAGCACAACGACGGCGGCCACCACGGCGGCCGCCGTCGCCGCCGCAATCTTCCACAAAGAGCCCTTCCTGTCCGGGAAATAATCAATTGTGAAGTTCCATCTCAGCACACAGTTTAGCTGGTACTTGGTCCCAGTAGAAGCGGAGAACCCGAAATAGGATTCTTGATTCAGATGCTCCCGGAGGTTTATTTCCGATCTTAGTACCGGCGACGGTGGCCGCGGCGGCGTTGGGTCGTGTCTAGCCTGCTGGGCAAAGTAGACTTCTATAACCTTAGCCACCCCATCATAACACACCCAGATATTATAGTACCTCGCTATTTTACTGATGGGGGCGAGAACTATCCCATGATTCTCCAAAGATTCAACCTTTTCAGATCTAACCCCGTTTATATCAAGCCCTACATGATTCCCGTCCGGGTCGTAATCTTGCTTGAAAGTATCAAATTCAACGGCGACGATACGGTTACCGGATTTCCCATCAGTGGTGGCGTTTGTGAGGCCTAAGTACTCCCCGTAGCTGTTCACCGGCGGCGGGTCCTTGCTCGGAGAAATCAAGAACGTGACCCCCTCGGCGGCGAAGCCATTCTTGGGGAAAATGTTCATGAGAAAAGAAGAGTTGAAAGATGCAACTCTGGTTTTTACGTCGCTGCCATCCCAGAGTCTGAAGGACTGGCTGAGGAAGATTCTACCGGACTGGTTCAGCATATATGATTCCTCTTGGGTAGTGTCCGGGGTGATCTGCAGGGCGTGATTGCTGATTGTTGCGTTTTTGACATCCAAAATGTTGTAGAAACTTTGATTGAAGTCTCGATACTCGACCTGGAAAGTTTCGAGCTTTGCAGCTTGAGATAGGGACTCGAACTGGAAGCAGCAAAGAAAGACGACGGCGGCCACGGCGCCGGAAACCTTTGCTCTCGAATATCCCATTTTAATGGGTTTGTGAGAATTGAGAAAGGAGGATCCCGGAGAAGAATGGGAATTAAGGACTGAGCTACTGAAGAAGAGTGGATAAATATCCTCAATTACTTTATCAGATGTTTTTTGACTGGTAAATCAGTCCGGTCAACCCAGTCAACTTCATCACATTTGGTAGATTTATAAAGTTATAAATTTATACTCTTAATAGACGGTTAATTTATCTCATTTAAATGCATATCGCCATATCAGGTGACTATCAATTTTTTTGGTCACTCGCCCACACAAATTTAATTTAATGGTTAAATAGGCCGTATTTAGAAAAAAAAAAATGATCCTAATATAATATTCGAATCTCAACGACCATAATATAGAGATTATATCTAAAGTAAACAAATCTCTTATATATACCGACATTTGACATGTGTTCTCCTGAGCTGAGATATGAGGACCCTTGAAGTTTTGGAGAATAATTTTTCTGATCACTCAAAAAAATATATACTCCGTATATCTTTTATACGGAGTACTTAATATAATTATATATACTCTAGATAATATAAAGTATAAATCTTTCTTTTCATTCTTTTTTTTTTTCTTGGAAAGTAGAGTATAATTTTTATATTAAAAGATTTCAAATTTTAATTTTACTAATATGATTTTTAGTATGATTGCTACTTTAAAATTTTTAATGTATATTATTCAATTTAATTTTCACAACTAAAACGTATATATTTAAAGTACATTAAGATAATATAAAATAAATGAAAAGAAATATTTAGTATTTAAAAAGTAAACATGACATACATAAAAAACGAGTAAAGGGAACATATATGGTTCACGAATTCAATTATTATCAATACTTTTTTTTTTTTTGTTGAGTTCGTTGTATAAGATCTTTCTAATACAGTTTACTTTTTATGTGTGATTTATAAATTATTACACATAGTAATTTACTAAATACATACTTTAAAGTAGTGACTATGAGTTTCATTCATCACAGTGAAATGCTATTTGCATCCTAAAAAATGCAAAAAAGTTTAATGGAGTACGAAGTGTATCTGTAGGGTTCATATATTTATATACTTGTGAATATTAAGTCCATTTGAATTGATTGTATAGTTTTAGTTTATAATTATTATCATTTTAGTTAAACAAGTATTCTAAAATAACACTCATTTTTATATTTAGTTGCTAAAAAAACAAAAAAAAAAAAAAAAGAAGAAGAAGAAAAACCATGTTAATTAATAAAGTATTGAACGATCTGGATGGGTAGCATTCCTAAGAGTAATATAGACGTGGATAACATCATTAACATGGAACAAACGTGAGGTTAATAGCCAGCTTGCATGTCTTTTTGTCATGTGGTCCTGTTCTCGTGTTGCTTACGTTTTTTTAATGACAAGCAAAATTTGAAGTCATTTAAAAAGACAAAATGTACATTAAATAAATTCAATTATTGTATACTAATTTATAAATTATATAGAAAAAGTAATTCGTATGAAGAAAAAATTATATGAACTCTGTAAAAGTTAATTCTATTGTCATATAATTATATTTATTTATAATTTACTTATTATTTTATCCATATTCCATCAATTTTAAGCCACCTTCAAAATATAATATTGTATAATAATAACAACAATATTTTTTAAGAAAACAATCATTTTCACTTATTATTTTTTCCATGTTCTAGTCCTTTGTGTAAAAGGCAACAATTTTTGGTCACCTTACCTTGAAGAAGGCGATCAATCTGTTTGCCTTCTCCTGAAAAAGGCAACCAATTTTGTTCACCTTTTCATAGAGAAGGTGAACAGTTTTCGTTGCCATCTTTAGGAGAAGGCCGATAAATTCTAGTCGCCTGCTCTAAGAGAATGCAACTTATACTAGTCGAAAGGGGGTTCGTCGTTAGGAAAAAGAAAATGCCGGTCAATGACATGAAATGTTATCGGTAACCTATTGGTTACTGAAAAATTAAGCTTATTTAATAGATTTCAATAAATTTAAAAAATAATTACACTTTTTAAAAGTTTAATCTAATTATTTTATCGTGTAAAGTTCAATAATCTATTTCACATTATTTTTTCAATTTTTACCCCTAAATATTTGGCAATTATTTTTCTTGCAACATGTACAAAAATCGTAACCAACATAGATATTTAAAAAATAATGACATGACACAAGTCATTCTTTCATATGTATGAGAATACTCCAAAAATATTCGCTCCCAAAATGGGTGCAGATTTTATATATATTTAATTCTACGTAGGCTTTTGTCAGTTGCAAACTTGCATGTAATTAATGGTCCTCACCTTGCCACTTGACAAGCTGGGACCTATTTATCATTATTCTTTTAATCACAAGTAAAATCAAAGATAACAAGAAAGTAAAATAGTTTAAATTGCCTATAATTTATTAGTTCATATGAATAAAGTTGATATGTTTCTTTTTAAATAAGAAAATTTATTAATCATAAAAATAAAGCTCGATAGAATGGTAAATCATTTTTTACCGTCAAACATAGAAACAACTTTAATATATTAAAAAAAAACAACTCTAATATATTATTCTCACTGGAATTTAAATTTAAAACTTTATATATGATTACCAAATTAAATTATAAATTTGATTAGAGTTGCTCATAATTATTATTTTGTAGCATTCTTAGAGTAATAGGGGTGGATAACTGGGGGGGACTTGGTTTTCGAAATCTTAGAGACTTCAACATTGCCATGTTATGCAAGCAAGCTTGGAGGCTAATCAAGTATCCTAATTCTCTAGTGGCAAAGATTTACAGTGCTAGATACTACCCCACTTCAACTTTTCTTGACGCAAAAAAATGTTCTAACCAATCCTATATTTGGAGTAGTTTATTAGAAACTCAGGAGGTCCTCAGAAAACACAGCAGGTGGAGAGTGGGTAAAGGAGATCAGATCAAGATTTGGGGTGACAATTGGCTGCCTGATACCGATAATCCACAGATTGTTTCTTTCCCGTACCCTTTTCTGGACAATGCAACTGTGGACGTCCTAAAAACCTCTGATAGTTGCTACTGGGACATGGAAACTATTAGAGAGATCTTTGATACAAGAGATGCAGATCTTATTCAAAAAATTCCGCTGGGAAAACACCAGACAGAGGACAAGCTAATCTGGAATCCGAATGATGATGGGGTTTTTACTGTGAGAAGCTGCTACAAAGTTTTGAATGGTGAATTAAGGGCAGAAGATAGAATGAAGTGGACTCTTATTTGGACTCTCAAAATTCCACCCAAAATTAAAATCTTCATTTGGCAGTTATGCACTAACTGTCTACCAACCAAGGATCTTCTAATATCCAAGAGAGTTAATTGTGGAGAGTGCTGCCTTTTATGTGACCAAGAGACGGAATCTGCATGGCATTTGTTTGTGGATTGTATTCATGCTCGACAATGCTGGAGTATTCTTGGGTGCCAACCGAACTCTGCTCATTTCTCATCTGTCCAGGAATGGTTCATCTTTCTATCATCATCTTTGCCTAGGGATCAATTATGCACAGTGATCGTGTGTTGCTGGGAAATTTGGAGGCAAAGAAACGACAAGATCTGGAACAACAAGAGGATTCAAAGTGCAGAGACCATTGTCTTTAAAGCTTCGAAGTATCTGCAGGATTGGAGAGAAGCAGCCTTACCATCCTTACCAGTTAATGAGGAGTCGACTACTGTGCAACCTAAATGGTCAAAACCACAGGAAGGTTTTCACAAACTAAATGTCGATGCAGCGATAGACTCAATCAACGGCAAGATGGGCTTTGGGTGCGTCATCAGAGACGAACACGGCACTTTTGTAGCAGCTAGAGGAATTCAATGGGATGGTGTTTTCTCACCCAGGGAAGCTGAAGCTACTGCGATCAGGGAAGCACTGAGCTGGATTAAAGAACTAAACTTGAATAAAGTCAGCGTTGAGACGGATTCTCTTCAAGTGGTCAACAGTCTCAAATCGAGTATAGGAGAATCCTCTTTCCATGTAATCCTTAGTGATATTAAAAACGTATTGTGCGACTTTTCGCATGTGTTTTTATCCTTTGTAAAGCGATCAACGAACGGTGTAGCTCATGCTATAGCTAGATATGCCGTTTCTAGTTCTGGTTGCTCCGAGTGGCTTTCTATTCCGCCACCTTTCCTTTGTAATGCTTTGTCTACGGACTTGATGAATTAATGTTATGACTTTCTTTCAAAAAAAAAAAAAAACAGGGAACAAATGTGGGGTTGATGCACGTCCCCACATAATAGCCAGCTTGCATGTCTTTTTTGTCCGGTATCCAGTTCTCGTAATCTCGTGTTGGTTACGTTTTGTTTTGTTTTGTTTTTTGTTTTGTTTTGTTTTGTTTTTTTTTTGTTTTTTTTTTGTTTTTTTTTTTGTAATGACAAGCAAAACTCAAAATCAATTTTCGTGCATTGAAGCCCACCAACTAATTATAGACCTATCGTAGCCGATCACTATTGTTATGTGCAAAATTTTGACAAACTCCAGTAATCTAAAATCAACGATCGTAGTTCCCGCAACCATTTATGGTCGTATTCTTCAGGATCTGGTTGCCTTCTCTGGATAAGGTCAACAGTTTTGATCGCCTTCTCCCAAAAAAAGCGACCAGTCTATATGCCTTCTTCGAGTGTTTGGTCGCCTTCTCCTGGAGAAGGCAATCGATTCTGTTCGCCTTCTTCAGGAAAAGACGAATAGTTCTGGTCATGTTGGTCAATAGCAATCAACGGTAGTCAACAACATACTTTTACCGGAGATTATCAGTAAATTATATTTATTAGACGGGGCTTAATAATTTTGAGGGTTTAATTTCACTTTTTAAAAGTTGAGGGGCCTAATTATTCTATTGTGTAAAGTTTAAGAGATTATTTGACAATTTTTTCAAAACTTACCACTAAAAGTTCGATTATCATTTTTCTTGCAATATGTACAAAAATCACAACCCACATAGATATTTTTAAAATAAGTAATGTCATAATCATTCTTTCATGAAAAATGTTATGTATACTCTTATTTTCTACTCCTACACATAAAACCTTGATGTAAACTACTTGTATTGAGACTCACATAAAAAAAAAAACTAGCTTATCAGAGTCTGTTATACTAAAAAATAAAATTGATGGAGTAAGATTTAAAAGTTTCTTCTCCCATATGAGCATAATCCGAAGATATTCACACCCAGGGGTGCAGATTTTATATACATTTAATTCTACTTAGGCTTTTGTCAGTTGAAACTTGCAAGTCTACTTGCAAAAGTCCATTTCTTTTTTGTCATGCATAATGGTCCTCACCTTGCTACTTGACAAGCTGAGACCTAATTATTTTATTTTTTAAGTCATGAGAAAAATCAAATGACCACATAATTTTTTAAAGAGAAAGTCTTAATTCAATATTATCCGACTTTTTAAAAAAAAATTAATTAAATATTGTCTGAATTTTAAAAATTATAAAAGTCTTTAAAAATTTATAAAAGTATGATTGATCTTTTTAATGTGATAATGAAAAATAAAACAAGTAAATAATTACGGAGTAATAATTTTAAATACAAAGGTCCTGTTTGGTAAAATGGTTGTTAGCTGTTAGCTGATTGTGTTAATTAGAGAGTATAAAATAGTTGATAACATTAGCTGATTGTGGAAAAGTATTTGGTAAATTAGCTATTAGTTGATAGCTGTTTGATATAATTTCTTTTCTCAAAAAGCTAATTGAAAAAGTTGCTTGGTGTAGCTTTTTGAATTTTAGCCTTTTGGAATTGTAAAAAACTAATTAATCAAACATTTATATTGATATTTTAACTAAATTAAACAATTAATAGTGGTCAAATAAGCCAAAATTGACCTATAGGACAATTTTTTACCAAACAAGGCCAGAACCTTTTTTAATATAATTTTTAAAATCCTACTAAATCTGTTATAGTGCGTTCATAATTACTTTCTCAATCTAGTGAAATATAAAGAGTCAATACGGCCACACCAGAATGATTTAGACAAATACCCCAATTACGTGGGTGTTTAATGAGTAATGACAGTCTATGTAGTCGATTTATCTCCACTAGATTTTGCGAGTGAGCCAACATCAGCCATTGGTTCCTTTAGGGCCAAAACTCAAAAGCAATAGCCATGGCGACGCTAGCCACACTATCTCTCTGCTGCCCGACCTCACATTCACCACTCCATTGTTCTTCAACCAAACCCAATTCTCTCCATTTCACCACACCCAAGAAGAGAAGCTCTTCCCACAGTCAAAGGAGGTTTAGAGTTTTGGCCGTCACAGAGGGCTCTGCTAAGAACACAAGCAAAGAAGGAGAAGAAGACCCTTCAGTTCCCTCTTGGGCCAAACCCGGGTCAGAAGAGCCGCCCCCGTGGGCCAGAAATGAGTCCCAGAAAGATTCTTCCAGCTTTGAGGTTCCCTTCTATGTGTATCTTCTGGCCTCAGCTATCACTGCCATTGCTGCTGTAAGCCTTCTTCTTGAATCAATTCTCTGTGTATTTGATGAATTTCGCAAAAAGATTGCGCCTTGATGGATTCTTGAATTGGTTTTTTGTGCAGATCGGTTCGATTTTTGAGTATGTGAATCAAAAACCCGTTTTTGGAGTTGTGAGCCCCGATAGTGCATTTTATGCTCCTCTACTTGGGTTCTTTGTTTTCACAGGCATTCCCACTTCTGTAAGTCTTTCATTTTCTCTAGTTATCCTTGTGACCTTGCTAATGGGTTTCTGCAAAATTTTTGTGTTCCTAGTTTTGCCTTTTAGTTTAGTTGGTTCTGTTAATCTTTCAAATGATCAAATTTTAAAAAGTTGGAATGTATGAATGGTATGATAAATGTCTGGAAAGTTGTATCCCTTTTCCCATGTCAATCCATGAAAAAACAAATGTGACAATCTAGCTTAGGTTTTATTGAAGCTACATGAGCACAAATGCATAGATAATTTGGTTGAAAAGAATGTTAAATCCAGGGATTTCTTTGGTTCAAATCGGTTCAAGCCGCTAACAAGGAGGCAGATGAGCAAGACAAGAGGGATGGGTATCTTTAGATTCTTTGTTACTCACTTGTACAATGTACTTGGTTCGAGTTGTATCTACTTGTAAAGATTTTTGCACAGCGGCTCTGGGATTATTTCGTTGTGCAAGCTAGCTATGCTAATATATCATCATTGTCATCACAATCTGAAACCTCATAATGTAACTCATACATGAATACTGTTTTGCCTCCTTTCTTGTTCTTTTTTCATGTTACTAATAACAAAGGTGAAAACTCAACCCTCTCTTTAGCTTCTCTGGGCATTTGTTGCTGGTGTGCATAATAGCATCTTGTTCCATACTTCGATCTCTACAAGTGTATGATGCCTCTTCGTTCTAATCTTCTAACGTTTTACTTGCCAATGCTTATATGTAGCTGTTCTTTCTTGATGGTGAATTCCCTGGCATTTATATCTAACCATTGATCTTTACCCAGTTTGGTACGTTGCCTTGTTTATAATATATTCTTCCAAAAGGTTGAACCCCAACCTTAAGGGCCTCCCACACCCGGCCCGACAGAGCATCTGGGAGGATGTAAATTATGATAACTCAACTGAACATGAACCACAGAGGCTAGACATTTGCTTACTGCGCACCAGGAGCCCCCTCACTTTGAGAGGTTGCTCCCACACTGCCACTGGTGAAACTTGATCCCTGGTCATTCTTTCAAACTTTCACCTCTATGACCAGTTGAGTTGCCCATGCGGGCACCTTGTTTATAATATATTGAAAGAACAATAGCAGGATGTTGGGTCTGGGCAGCTTGGTCTGTGTTTCTTGGACACCTTCTAGACCGTTGATCTTGAGAGCTTATTCTATTGGCGTGGTTGGGCCATGTTACCTGTAGTTTTGTTGTTCTTTTCCCAAATGTCTAAACATTATATTAAAGAAGAATAGACAGTTTTGAATAATAATGGTGGGTAAGTGAGTTTATAGGATGAGTGAAACTGGGGACTAAAGATCTGCTGAGTGGATTTGATTTAAGGTGGTTGATATGCATGGAGCTTCAAGTGGACAGATTCCTCAGTTTCTTACAAGGTTGTTTTCTGGTAAGAATAAATGGACAGGGCATTTGAGTTGCAGATAATGGTACATTATATTGGAGTGTATTCTTACTTGCAAGCAACCTCAAGATTTGCTAACTGTTCAATGCCGTGTTTGACGCCTTTGGGTTGCAATCACACGTGGTGCAGAACCAAAAAAAGAACAAAGAATCTTTGGATCCTTTCATGGGATTGGATATCTTCCATGAGAAATTTAGTAAATCTTAGAAAATGTGATATTTTTCATTATGCAGAAATGAAATAATGGAAATGAAAAAGAGAAGTCATAGCCACATGCCCACATCACTCTTTTTCGCTGGCAAACTTCTAAAAGAAGAGAGAGTCCAGCCCCTAGACGCAAGCACGGGACTGCATTATTGACCACAATAAACAAGACAAACCATTATTTTTGGTAAATGGCGGATCTGCCAATTTTTTGGCGGATCCTTCATTTTTTACGTGGTCAAAACGTCAAAAGATATGTTTGGTAAAGTAGCGGTTTGCTCCAAACCGCTGCATTGTCTGTTCTTAAGGCTGTGACAAAAAAATATATTTACTAGCCAAGTCGATCAAATTTTTGACATGGTAATCACAAATTTAAAAATTAGACTTCAAATGAGAGCAAGAATAATGTAGGAAAAAAGTGGGAGTTTAATGGTTTGTAGGAATAAAATTATTGGGAATTTCAATTATAATGTTTGGTATACATGAGAATTGAGAGAGAATAAATAGTATAAAGTCCAAAATGCCTATTGTTATTGCAATTATAAAATTGACACCACTCATAATGCAAATTATAGTTGTACATAAAATTATAAACAATGCAAATTTTCATTCACTATTGCATAGATTCAAACACAAGTAAAATTAAAATTAACAAACACACAACTGACGTCATTCACTATTGCATAGATTCATTCGCTATTATAAACAAACACACCACCCACACTATATACACATCAAATTTAAATACTTGAGAGTTCTGAGAAAACATACTTGATTAAGGTTGACCTAGAATGGTTATTCCTCAGGAACAACGTCCTCTCTGTTGATCGAAGAATAATACATGGCTATCATCTAGAAGTGAAGGTCAAACATCAATTTTGAGTAAAAAAATTAGGAAATTTTGTCTCATGATTATCTTTTTTTTTTTTTTTTCTTCCTAAAATTCATTGAATTAAAACTTCAGGAAGCCATGAGATTCTAATTCCATGAAATTGAGGGAATTGCAATTCCTTTCAGCCAAACTAAAAAATTTAGTGATATTTGAAATTATATGGGAATTAAGTAAGAATAAAATTTAAATTTCCTCCATTACTTATCAATTAGACCAATGTATACGTAAATGCGGATTTCTCTAGCCAAGAAAATGAGTTACAAAATCATTTTCAAGATTCTCAATTAAAAAACTAAAATGTTATTTATTATATATATATTTTTTCTTTTGAATACCTTATTATATTTATTTATGATGCTTAACAGTTAACAATAAATGAGTTTTCCAGAATCTTTAGTTAAAGATTATGGTAATTATGACTATAATAATTATTTCGTGGCACGAACGAATTGAAAGGGATTGGATCCAGAGAAATAACAGAAAAGTTAGTTGAACAGTGAAAACAGCTTTTTCGGATCTGACCCTGAATAAAACGGAGCATACACTTTCCATCCGGGTCAGTTTAGATTAAAAAAATAAAAAAATCCTTGCTGAGTTGCTTTGCTTGTTAATTGTTATAGAATCGGTGGCCCGGCCCGGCCCGGAGCCTCCGCTCTCAGAGTTGGACTGCTGGAGGTTGGAGGTTGACAGGCTGTTAGGGAGACGCCGATACGATGTGTTCAAAGCGTAGTTACTAGAAGAAGCAGAGTTCTAGATTTCACTTTCTCACCTATATTTATATACATACAGATATATATATATTTGTATGCATATACAGGTGAACGCATAGAGGACGTGAGAGATTGTTGATTTGTTTGGATTTGTCTTGCAATGGAGGAAAAGAGCGGGATTGATCACCAGGAGTCGCCGCCGCCGCCGCCAACTCCGGCGGAATTTAAGGGGACGGGGGACGGCTCCTTGTTTCACACCATACTGGCGATGTCGCTGTGGCTTGGCTCTATCCACTTCAATATCATCATCGTGTTGCTTTCCTTCTTCTTCCTCCCCTTCTCTAAAGCCATTGCGTATTGCTCTTTACTTCCTCCCTAGCTTTATACATAGGTGCCGCCTTCATTTTGTATGAGAGTTTAATTTTTTTTGTTTGATTTGATCCAGGGTATTAGGAGTGTTGTTGATATTTGCGGTGATTCCGATTGACGAGAAAAATAAATCGGGCCGAAGATTAGCTAGGTTTGATTTCTATTATGTTGCAATTTTATCTATTCAATTGTCTGATTCCGATTGACGAGAAAAATAAATGGGGCTGAATTTTATTTTATTTTTTTTTTTGCAAATATTTCGATTTCACTGTGCTGTGCTATTGAAAATTTGGCCAATTTCAGGTACATATGTAAGCATGCTTGTGGCTACTTTCCAGTGCACCTGCATGTGGAGGATATTAAAGCATTCGATCCCAATCAAGCATACAGTAAGTTCTCTGTTCTCCAACAAAAAAGGGAAAGCAAAGGAGTTTATTTTTAATTCTTTACTATTCTGGCGATCAAGCAATCACTATCTTCTTCTTGAAATTTGTTATGCTTGTTATATTCTCCCTTTCGTGATTTGTTTTTTTTGGTAACATTTTATGTGATTGTTCTGGGAAATTGTAATTGACGTTAAGAACGCAGAATGTTTTCCTTCTGCTGTGGTAAGAACAGAAAAAGTTTTCCATCTTTTTGGTTCCTGAACCATCGACTTACTATGTTATTGTTCTTCTCGCAGTTTTTGGCTATGAACCACATTCGGTTTGGCCAATTGGAGTTATTTCACTCGCTGACCTTACAGGCTTCATGCCTTTGCCAAGAATCAAAGTACTTGCTAGTACTGCTGTAAGACTTGCTGCCTCCTGCTTAGCAAGAAGTCTTGATGTTGGTCGTTTTCTTGTTGAGTTCTATTTGACTGTTCAAACTCTTTACAGGTATTTTTTACACCATTTTTGAGGCATATATGGACTTGGTTGGGACTATCGCCTGCAACAAGGAAAAATTTCCAGTCCCTTCTGTCGTCTGGCTATAGCTGCATCATAGTGCCTGGTGGAGTTCAAGAAGCATTTTATATGGATCATAGTTCTGAGGTTTAATATCAAACATCTAGCTATCTTAGTATATACTTGATAAAAAAGTGATAAAATCACCAGTGACATAGCCTGTTGTCCTGTCCTATTAGTAGTAGATTTAGATATTAAAAGGTGACAAGACTTTATGCCAACATGCATCTTTTGTGAAATGGTGCTCCACAATCTTGTATTGTTCTATGTACATTAAGCACATGGTTGAGGGGGTCTAACCTTTTTATTAACAAGTCCCATTTCAGCATTTGTTATAAAAGTAAAAGGGAACTTGCAAGTTCTAGTTTATTTTGACACTCTTTTAACAACCATGTTCTCAAGAAAGTTAAACTTACTCTATTCTAGATGCTGAAAGATGTATTGATATTCTAATTTTACTATTCTCTTTCCTTGTAATGTTGATTTCTGCTTGGAATTAACTCTTATGGGGACCTGTTATCTATTATGTAGATTGCTTTCCTTAAAGCAAGAAAAGGATTTGTACGAATCGCTATAGAAACGGGCAAGCCTTTGGTTCCTGTATTTTGCTTTGGCCAGGTGATTTTTGGCTTTTTTCATTGTTGCCTTGCATTTCTTGTAACTACTTCCTGTCCACAAATTTGGGAGTTTCTGAGGATTAGTACAGTTTACATTCCTACTGCAATAAGTACGCTGATGTATTGTGTAAGCATAAATTCATTTACTACGAGTCTATTATATGAAATTTCCAGGTACATAATAACCTGTCCAATAGGTCATTGGATATGTTTGCTTGCTTCATAGTAAATTTTATCTGTTCACTGCTCTGCCAATCATTCTGTGTCACACACTTGATATTGATGCTTCTGTGAAAAAGCAAGGCTACTTACCCTACCATTTTTGTGTGAAATTTGCAGTCAGGTGTCTACAAGTGGTGGAAGCCGAACAACAAACTGTTTTTGGAATTTTCCAGAGCTATAAAGTTCACCCCGCTTATTTTCTGGGGAATCCTGGGGTAAGCCATTCACCTTACAAACCATTTCTATTCAAGTTTCTAAATTCTAATCAGTCTCATAGTGTACCCTGGACCTTCTCTTGCAGATCTCCTATACCCTTTAGACAACCCTTGCATGTTGTGGTTGGGAAACCCATTGAAGTCAAGAGAAATCCACAACCCACAATGGAAGAGGTATCTTTCCATACATCTATTTCACTATTCTTAATCTACTATGCACATTCTTTTCTGTCCTAATTGACTATCCTCTTGAATTTATTGAAAAGGTTGTGGCAGTGCATGATCGATTCGTTGAAGCACTGCAAGATCTCTTTGAAAAGCATAAAAAGAAGTCTGGGCATGGTGATCGTGAGCTAAGAATTCTTTAATGTATTAAGCTGCAATTTGTTTTAATGTTGTACTAAATTACAAAGCATAAATAAATAAAAAGAAATTGAGGGTATAGTGAAGGCATTCAAATTGAATGAATCAATCTAAACCAAAGTTGAAAATGAAATATTGAAATCAAATCAAGTAAACAGTTTGCTGAGACCCTAATCAAGAATACAGTTTTGTTGTCCATTAGCCATTGATTCAGTAGGCCCTATATAATCCTAGTCGGTTCAGGGAAATCTTATCCTTTACAGTACTTAATTTCTCCATCACCTTTTTAAGGGATCTTAAATCTTAAATTAAATTATAAATTATATTGCTTTTTAGGAAATTAGAAATATGTAGTATAGTTTCAAAATTTTAATGTGATTTGGGTTTATTGATTTCTTAACATGGATATTCATTACTGTGGTTGACTCAAATTGAAATATAAATATTTAATTGTAAAATCAAAATAAAATATTTAATTTGTTCGATTTAGGGTTAAATCCACTACAAACAGAGAAGATGAAAATATAATAATTTGTAACAAAATTACCTAATTCACAAAGTCAACAAATATTGTCAAATTATTATTTTATTAATGAAAGGTGCACACTCTAATATTATATATTAAGATACATAACCCCATTTTCATTTGTACCCATATGTCTAATTGGAATATTACTGAGCTCAGTTTTGCTTCATGTCTAGTTGAAAAAACAAAAAAATACTTACAAAGAATGCTATCAATTACTTAAGCAGCTAAAAAGTAGTATAAAACCAAACACCATTTTGTAACAACTTACAAAGTCATTCCTATCTTAGTCTTTCAACCCAAACTTGATATTTTGAACTTTAACCACTAATTGTAGCTTCTGCTGCTCAATATCTTTCAAGATTGACAGTAAGCTGGCCCGATATGCTTCACATTTTTGTTCTGCATGCTCAAGCTGCCACGATAGGCTCTGTATCTTTCTGTCCTGTTCATCCTACAAAGGAATTGGATATGTTAGTCAAAAAGTAATGAGACATTAAACATTCTCGTGATGAAATTGATCATATACCATTGTAGAATGAAACAAAAACAGATGGCCTAAATTCATAACATTGATACTATACCAGAAATCTTATAATTTAACATAGCTAAACAAACAGGACTTTTCATGATCCAATAATCTCTGAATTCGATACAATGCTCTGGACAAAGCTCAAAGTACTACAGTAGGTTGCAAGCTACAATCAAACATTAAAAGCGTATCTAATGAGTAATGATGCCTGCAACTTTGGAGGCAAATACCTGATCTTTCCAGCTTATAAGTAAGAAAGAATGGTAAAAACTCTAAACAAAGACTATATTCTTAGTGAAATTGCCAGGCTCTTAAATTATACACAAGTCTACACAGTTAGAAGCCTAGAAAAGGAGCTCACTCCTAATGCTTGTGAAGTTAAATTTAAAAAAAAAAAGAAGGTAAAATCTCAACTTACTAGGGGTAATGGTTTCCCGGGATCCAATTGATGATCCTGACTTCTGGTATTTGCATGGCTTAAAAGAATGGTGCATTCTTGTATGTCCCCAGGTCCATTGACAATAGACAGTTTGTCACTGTTCCTTTTAGCAATGGCAACTTTGTTTGCAGCCTCTCGTAAAGCATCCAATGCCACATTGCAAATTTCCTCATCTCCGGCACTTTCATCTACATATCTTAGGGCTTCATTCTGAAGATTGTTATACCTTTGAGTAAGAGATTCTCGACAGCTATTTAATAAATTGTTGGTTCCTTCATCCAACACGACACTACTTTTTGCATTCTTAGTCCACCTTTTCAGGATATATTGAGAAGGTAGAGTAAGAAGATTTGTGATTCTAAAGACTGTCAATATATGCCTACAGAGAAGACCACAGAATTCAAACATCTGGCAGCTACACGATGCTTTCATATCCCCGACATTATACCTCACCAAGTATGATTTATGACTTTCCCCAAATTTGGAAACCTGATACGTAGTTATTAGCTCCTGATCCTCAACTTTCGTGGCAAAAAATCCTAGTGTTTCAACCAACTCTCCTTGAAACTTTGCAAACAGTTTTCTAGTATAAACCTCACTAGCCTGTTTCTCCATGGGTGATGGAGTCTTAAGAACAGGGGCAGTGTTTATGGAGTCATAATCTGCTTTGACTTCCTTCTCATACCGACTCTCCAGAGCTTTTTCATATTGTTTGACAAATTGCTGAAGAGTTGTTGATGCATTGATGTATCCATCGAAATATGAATTCAAGCTATCACTATGTTGAGTCATAGACATTTCAGCAAAAAACGTGTTCCTCAAGTAGACTGGCACCCATTGCCCACGGTCAGCAAATATTGTTTTAAGCCATTCATTTTCCCGGAGATCATATCGATCAATTAGGGATAACCAACAAGATTCAAACTCTTCAATGGACTCAGTCACGCTCACACATTTGTAAAACTCTGCTTCAAAGTTTGGATGCTTGGAGAGCACATCCGAAAGCTTTTCTTGACATTCTTTAAAGATATGCCACATGCAGAACCTATGACGTGTCTCGGGGAAAACCTGTGTAACAGCCAACCTGATCAGTCTATCATGATCAGTTGTAATTGAAACAGGTGGTTTCCCTTTCCCAGACATTGCTGTGAGCCAAGTCTTAAACAACCAAACGAATGATGCCTCGGACTCATTTGGTAGGAAGGCACAACCGAATAACACTGGCTGTCTGTGATGATTCACCCCTGTGAACATGGCAAAAGGTAAGCGATACCGATTTGACCTGTAAGTAGTGTCAAATGTTACAGTATCACCAAAATAAGTATAGCTGTTCCTGGCATTAAGATCAGCCCAGAAAACATTACTCATGCACTGATCCTCATCTCCCTGAACAGCATAGAAAAATGCTGGATTTTCAGCATGCTTTTGTTTCAAATAATCCAGGAGGATCTTGGGATCACCCCCAAGTGTCCTCTGCTTACTACTCTTCATGTAATTCCTGCAATCGCGTTCTGTAAACCCGATGTTGTTAATCCCGCCATACTCTTTGATCAATGCAGACATGATCCCGCTGGCGCCAATACCAGCTCCCTGTAAGGTATCAATCAAAGCTTTAGCCGCCCCGGAAACATGTCGATGAGAGCGCAGACAATGCACCTTGTCAGGCGGGACGAGCTCGTGGTTATGCTCTCTGATAAACCCAGCAACTACCCATTTCCCTGACTCCTCCTGAATCTTAACCAACAGCATTGCCTTGCAACCAACCCTAGTCTCCACCCTGGGCCGCTTAACTCGTCCTCCGCCATCGTCATGGCAGCTCGTCGGCTTCGCCTTGTCAACTCGGAAGCCCTGTTTAGCACAAACGAACGATCTCTGGATAATCGCTCCATCTCGCCTAGACCTCCTTGACATGCTCACACGCGTACTAAACCCTACCCTTCGCGCATAGCCATTGTAGAAGGCTTTCGCAGCTTCCTCCGACTCAAATTCCATCCCCTCGTAAGGTTCAAGGTTCATATCGCCTCCTGCACCGCGACTACCGCCGCCGCGATTATCGTCGTCATCATCATCATCCATCGGGTGTTCAATGTCAATGGCGCCATCCACAATCCCAATCATATCAAATTCGATCACATCATTCCCCATACTCATTGGTTCGAACTCCATTTTTCTTCAAGCTGAATATATAATCATACACGCATGCATCAAAACGATAATCATACACGCGATCGTGTGTGTGTGTGTATATATAGATGTAAAATTAATATGAAATTGACGAGTATATAAGACTGCGGGCTTATGAACTGACCGCTGATTATGTTTTACGTGATTCAAAACATATCAAAGTTGTAGTAATTTTAATCCGTGAAAGACGTGGATTTATGAGCTGGTGATTTCTGGCGATGCTGAAATTTGTTTTTGAGTCGGTGGAAATTTAGGGTTGGGGGTTTTAGGTTTGCAGTGAAGATTAAGTTAAGTTGACGATTTGCAGTGCGGAATTTCGAGCAGATGGGGATGAATCGGATTCACGGAAATCATCATGCCTTACCATAATTTTAATTTTAATTTTTTTTAAGGAAATAAATTTCATTAATTCAAGTCTAATACGGAGTACATAAAATGAGGTGGAATGATTCAAATTGAAGCATGTGCTCCATCTCAACTAAAAGTCTAAATTAATAGTTGGATTGCACATTAATGGTTACATGCTCAAAGCATAGGATCAGATAAAAAAAAAAATTCCCAATTCTAAGTGTTCCTACATACCGACCCGACAGAGCATCTGATAACCAGTTGAGCTGCTCATGCCGATTTTAGGGCTAATTTTTTAAACTTCAAATGATGATGAACAAATGAGATAATAGTCAAGAAAATGAAGAACTAGTAAATGAAGAACTAGTAAATAGGCTAAGCAGATCTCTTGTATGTACCTGACATTTAGTCTTGTCTGTTGAACTACTGAATTACCGTGATTTATATTCTCATAAATGCTCTGTCCAATTGGAGTTGGGGATTCAACCATTTTGGAGAAATAAATAGGGTGCAGGCAATACACAGAAGAAGAAGAAGAAGAAGAGTCAGGATAGAAACCACATGAAGTATGTTGACCAGAGTGTCAATGCAACTGATGCCACCCCATAATTCCAAAACATTATCACAGAGCATTCAGTCTCCCCAATCTCAAACAGCTGTGTGATCGTTCCTGCCAATTTTCACAAGTTTTTAGGGTACATATATATTGATCATGTAAGACCCCAGATTGAAAAACCATATCCTATTACCTATGGCCATTGCTGGAGGAACAGAATACTGAAGAAGAAGAACGAAGTGATACAACGGGTCTGATCCCACCATTCCTAGATCTCGTGCAGCTTTAATCACAACGATGCCTACAACAGGCAAGGCGATGAAACGGACTATAATGATCCCCACGAGAAGCCATAGACCAACTCCCGATCTTTTGAATCCTGAACCAAAACGACGTTACATGCATAAATGTTAAGAAATTGAAAAGAATGATGATGAAGAGCTGCAGTCGTGGTGCTACTAAAGTTACCTCGTAAAAGATTTGCCCCCATTATCAGTGTCATTGAAGGGATTGCTGCATCCCTGTAAAAGGTCAATCCAGGCAATAAAATGGTCACTTTTGAAAAGTATACAAATACAAGTATAGAACTAAGAACAATATATTCACAATTAGGAGTCATACCCTAGCAAAACAACAGAACTCTCAACGAAACGTAGTGGAGCACTCTCGCCAACCATGATGTTCCTTATTGGAGATATAACGCCAATAATGATTCCAAGAATCTACACAAGAAGTAACACTCGTTAATTAATAGGAAGTACCATCTTGGACCGACTGCTCTGAGATATTGTAAGATTAGCCATCAACCACGTACTGTTGCTATAGTAGGAGGTCTGAATATCATCTTCAGCTCAATATTTCCCATCCACGTTTTCACTTGCTGTTTAATTTTCCCGAGTACTGGCACCTGATACATACCGAAGAAGCGAAGGTTAATATTATCTGTTATGATTCGCAAAAACTTAAGATCAATTAGAAAGCTAGAGTATACATATAGTTTCTCATCTGGATTCATTGAAGCTATGAGATAATTGGACACACATACATTTGTTTTTTGAGTTGAGATAGTGATATTTTAACACAATGTTCTCTCAAATAATAATGCATCTTTTCGAAATAGAGAAGCACGGAATTTACTTGGACTTCTCGTGTTGATCTTTCGAGATCTTCATTTCCTCCCGAGCTCAAGTAATTGTTTGACAATAATAATGCTTCTGTGCAGTTGTTGTCTAAGGTTATTCCTAATGTTTCATCGTGTTGCTTCTCGCTTATTCTGGAGTCCACTTTGGCATCGGTGGGGATATTATTATTCCCACACGCTCTTACGATATTATATACATAAGACCAGACAAAAACAGCTCCTATCTGAACAAAGAAACGAGCAAGAATGAGTATATACTACTGCTGAAAACAAGTTTATTTGTTCGGTCCGGTCCAAGCAGACCAAAGTTAAAGAAGCATTAAATAATCATTACCCCCATAGATAGTGCCACATAACTCATTCCATTCTTTGAACAGGTTGAAGAATCCCCAAATGGATTATTTTTCTCGGCACAGATTGCCGGGATTATAATGACAGGTAAGTTCCCCATATTTCCTGCAAAGGAAAGGAATTGAAATCCCTCAAAAAGCTGTGTTTGACACTTGAAAATAATTTTATCCAATTAAGCTCAGTTAGTTTCTCAGAATATAAGGGTGCCATTCATCTATGTACCTGCTGCACAGCAGCCAATAACGAGGCCATGCAACTCTCGAGGAGCTCTTGTGATCTTAACTAGTATCCACCCAAGTGCTGATCCAATGATAAACGTAATAAGAATGCTCACAGGAATGAACCACCTGGACTTAGAAACTGAATTTTAGCACAAGTAAATTAAGCGGGAATTTGAGGAATCCAAATAAACGATAAGCATTACACCTACAAAGAAACTATGCTGGTTGCCGTCATTGAATCTACCAGGCTGCTAGCCAGAAGTGCCGGAAAGAATATGTAAAACACAAGCTGCTCAAGTTCAAAAAGGTATGCACGCTTTTAGTCCATTATATTCTTCTTTTATTTCGTTTCTTTTATAAGGTATCCCAAAAAACAAAACATGAACTTGAACACCCATCAAGGCTATCATTTATTTTAAAACGAAAATATCACAACGAAAAAGATGTTACTTCAATTCAACAGCTAGATCGATCCTTCTAACAGTTGTAGTTAGGGTATTATCGAAACATATAAATCAATTCTATACTCCAATTAACCTTATTAGCAGTAATGTTTGTCAAAGAACCACTTGAAGAAAACGATAATGTAAAATCTGCCCACTTACATTGTTCAAATGGTGGCGTGCAGGCGCAGACAGGATACTCACGCGATCTAGGGCAAGAAACAAACCAACTATAGCAATAAACAGTGTTTTCAACACAGGCATTAAAGCCACCAAGAACAATTCCCTGATTCCCATTGCCAAACTCCTTCCACAAAATCGGCAACTAACACCTTCATACACAATATAATAATTGAAGGAAATCAAATTGGATAGACTCAATTATCAGCATCAATACTACAAGACCAAATTAGCTGCTCCCTGCCCACACGGACTTAGCTCAATGGGTCAGTAGGCAGTATTTGGGAGAAGAGACCAAGGTTTGAACCTCAGCGGCGGCAGTATGGGAATTATGCCCAAACTGACAGATCCCTTGTGCGCACCGACATTTGGTCATGTCTGCTAAGCCATTGAGTTACATCCTTCCAAATGCTTTGTTCCTTTTGGGAGAAGGAAATTAGCTGCTCCCTTTAATCCTTGCATATTTACTCTCCCAAAAGATTTACTGACTAGTAGCTATTAATTTCAGAAGTATATTGGTGAATATATATAGCATCAGATTCATAAATTTGGCAATCCAGTGTAAAGCAGAAATAAGCTAAACAAGATTATATAATAAATACTAGTAAATAAGATTACCCTTTTTAAAGCAGTTTTGGAAGAATCATAACCCAGAATGAAGAAGTAGTTCACAGTCAAGATTCATATATAATCTTAATCTTCCAGAAAAGGCTTAATTTCAAGATTCCAGAACAACAAGAGAAAGAAGACATACAGAATTTTGTTGAGCTGAGGTTGTTCTAGTAGATACTTGCAACTGGAATAACAGACTTCCTTTCCACTTTCATGCCCTCCACCCTCAACTGTCAATATACTCCCTCACTCCCTCTCCTGGGCCAGTTTTTGGTTAGAAATGATTATTTGCATATTTTGGATTTTTGGTGTGTTGAGTGAATGAATTTTTTTTATTTTTTTTTTAAATTCTTAAATTTTTGTATTTATATTAACTACTAATGGGCTAATGTTAATGATGGAAATGAAATTGATTGTTAAAAGATGAGAGCATGTTGAGTTGTATGGTGTAGCTGAGATACAACCAAACCCCAACATATTATAATACCAGATCAGATTACATCACTGATAACTTAAAAAATAAAATTTGGTGCTCCCAGTCCCAGTCTCACAGACTGAAATATAATATTATTCTATAAATTGGCCTTTGGATTATCAGCGAGCCAAGAAGGGTTTTGGGCCTGTAAATTTAGTAGAGTTTTATTTGGGGCTTTGATCCAATTTTTGAAGTCTAACTGCATTACTTCATTAGGCTTGCTTGGATTTCATGAACTTAATAGTAATTGAGAGTGGAAACTTATAGTTGAAATTTACCAACATAGTGAAAACTATAATCAACACAAATAAACTTGAAAAATATTAGCAAATTTATCACAAATATATAAATCATTATTTACGATATTTTACCTAGACAAGCATAGCACATATAGATAGGATATAATATAAATTATATGACTTGTCTCATTTACTTATTTATTTATTTTTGAATTATTTTAATTTAATCATAATTTTAATATTGGGCATTTATTCTCGCACATCGTGCATATAAAAGGCTAGTACATATATATATAGCCAAGCCAAACATATATTTTAAGTAGTTATATCATGTTCCAAGGTTAAGATAGACCCTAATCCAAAAATCGTACCACTTTAATTTGTTTTTCCTTTACCTTTTAAATGACACCCATATTATTTTTTAAAATTTTTTAAAGATAAATCTATATGTATATAAAGTCATTACTTTAGATACATAAATTTAATTCAAAAAAGTTACTAGTTTAAATTCATAAGTTCAATACTATAGGTATATAAATTCATTATTGTACACACGTGAAATAACTGCAATAGGTACATAAATTTATTACTTTTGATGTCATTTATATGTACCTAAATTTATATTTTGATGTACTTACAATATTATATATATATATATATATATATATATATAGAAGAGCGCTCATATGCGGCGGGGTCTTACGGTGCGGCGGTGCGGTCAAATTCCAGAATACACCAACAGTGTTAACAATATGCACCAACAGTGTAATAAAAACACACCCCAATGAAATGTAATAAAACATCACAAAATACACCACAGACTCAAAAAAACACACCATATAACTCACCACCCCCAATGGTGTATTTCCGAACATTGTATGGTGTTTTTACTCACACCTAGTGGTGTGTGTTTGGTGATGCAGGGCTCTGTTTACTCTGTTTTGTGTGGTGTATTTCCTAACGTTGATGGTGCATATTTGGTGAACTATTGGTGTTGCCGCACCGTAAGACACTGCCGCACCTGAACCCGCCTCTCTCTCTCTCTCTCTCTCTCTATATATATATATATATATATATATATATATATATATATATATATATATATATATATATATATAGTTATTTATTTATTTATTTATTTATGTACCTACAATATTACTTTTATGTACCTGAATTCATCATACAAGATAGATTTTACTCTAATTTGTCATGTTTTGGCCAAGTCCAAACTATTATTTGTTCCTATAAGTCTAATGAAAGTGTTCAAAATATACAAATCTTTTCTCAAATACTGTCTACTTTAACCTAGTCTCTACGAGTATTAAATATAAATAGTGCAAGACTGCAAATTTTGAGTCTAAATATGGATAGTGCAAGACTGCAAAATCATAAACAAATTTTAAAAAATTAAATTTGCCACCCCTAATAATAACAACAATAATAATTCATTATTGTATAATTAAAATTAAAGACTGATCTTGGATTGTTATGGTCTTATTGATAATCTTATCCTTGCCGCCCTGTCTCTAATCACCATAAGAATTCCCTAATACCGACAGTCATAAACTCATTAATAACATCATTATTATTATCGCACAGTAAAAATATATATATATTCTGCTTATGACATCACAAACTGTCCTTCGAATTTTATGAAAATGTGTGGTCGGAAAAAAGACATATAATTAAAATATAGTACAGTCCAAACATTAATGGAACACGAGGTTACTCTTGACGGCTATAAAATAAATAAAATACAAAATAGAATATAATACGGAGTAAATTAAAATGTAGGCCACTAAGGTGGAATTTAAAAAATAGAAAAAAAATGGCAATTGATAAGACAAAATTGTGAGACTTTTGTTTAACAAATCCAAGTTTACACCTTTTATTAATTGAGCTTGTGTCTTGCGTGCCACCACCAGTACTCTCCTCGGCCTATACTTTGTCTTTTCCCAACCTCAATTAAATAAATTGGAAAATGTTAAGTATCTCATTAGATAGTAATAATCTCATCATTCTTCAAAGTAATCACTCATTATTTTGGGCGGAGTTTTGATGTGTCGAGTCCAATATCTTGTTATTAAAACGTAATGTTAAATATTACGTAAATATAAAAAAGTTAAAGTTGCACATGTGTTACTAAGTATATAACTTTTGACATAGTGATAACTGTTTAGTTTTGACAATTGATATCATAGCATGTCGTGGATTTGAATCGCATTGAAAACATGTTATGCAATTAAGACTGGCAAGAGGCATGGAAGGCTGAAACATAATAATCGATTGTACGAATGGAGCTCAGGAATCATAAAGAGGTGGTGACTCATGTTGGATACTGGTTTGATATTTAAAGCAGTGCTGACAAATTTGTCTTGTCCCAAATGGTGTCCGATTTCTATAACTGGTTTTCTGACCTCAGCGATGAAGAAGTGTCCAAATCTAATTGGACGATCCACGGTTATTTATCAGCCGTCTTGTTGTATATATAATCTTATCAAGAAAATAAGAAATTGAGATCTATAATATACATTTCTAAATAAATTTCAAAAAAAAAAAAAGAGAGAGAGAGAGAGAGAGAGAGAGAGAGAAAAAAAAGAAAAGAGACAAGAAATCTTTGTTGTTTGTTAAGCACTTAATTATGCCTATCTAATCTTGCAACCACCCCTAGTCACTTAATTTGTAATTAATATCACTTTATTGAGACAATTTCTCTTTCGTGTGTCCCACCTATTTACATATTTGTCTCAAACTTAGAAAATAAATAGTGCAGATTGTGGGATGAGAAATGACGATTTTTTGTATAGATACAATTAATACAATAATAATAGAAATAAAATTATTGACTAATTAATATATAAATATAATTATAGACCCCTATATATTAAATAATTATTTACTATCCTATGTACACATTATTTAGAAAACATAATCTTTAGGAGATCTTCTTTAGTTATTAGGTTAATAGGTTATCAATAAGATCATATCAACCAGAAGAAATAACTGTATTTGTTTGATTTTAATGAATTTTTATATTATGAGGACTAAGTGACTTTCATGATTGCAATGAACATATTTCAATACTTTGACTAATAAAATACAATTATGATAAACATATATTGTAATTTGCAAAAGCATATCATAGTACTCCATATAAGTGACCAATTAAGTGGCATTATATACCAATTATTAGCTGATGACCACCACTAAAATAAAATAAAATGAAAAGTAACTTTTTTCTTTTTTACTTTATGTATATAAAATAACAATTTTAGTCCTACAATGTTTAACATAAGTACTATAACCCTCAAATTATATTATTTACAAGGTGATAGCTTAGTCCATGCATCTTTTCATGAGATTATAGTATTGACGATTTTGAATCCTCGACATCCTATGAAGACTTTAATAGTTTAGATCAGAGCTTCAAATTACAATATTGTCTCTATATTAATTAACAAGCTCTATACGTGTAATATAAAGGTGATGGACTTAATGTCTTTGTTTTGTAATTAAGACTAAATTAGAACTACCACGCACCTTATAAAAATTGGATGGTTAATAATGCTCGCATCAAGAATTGAAGAGTTGAAATCACTATTTCATGATATGTGCAGTATTATCCCATCAAGAAAGTATATGCTTTGTCAATCATTAATTAAGATCGTACATGATATAAATAGGATTAGTATTATTGTACGTGTTTAGTCTTATTAAAATATTTTAACGAGAAATACGTGGTCGGACCAAAAAATAAAATGATAACAACATAACGTCCAATTCAACAAAAATAAAATAGTCCGCTCTCTACGTCTATTTGTCTCATTAGTCTAATCAAATCATTTGATTAGTACACAATCAAGAAATCCTAAATACTACTTATACCAATATAATGAACCAAGTCTTGAGTCACACAACTCTCGTTGTTCTTGTGTGTTCTAACTTGTGATATATAATAAACCTCCACCAATACTAAAAGATAACTTTCCTTCTTCCAAACCCCTTTCCCCTTTCCCCTTTCCTACTCCCAACGTTAAATATTCATCAGACCTTCAAGAACGTAACCTCTCCTTCATTGTCGTCCCAAAACCTCAGAGGACCCATATATGGCCATGGGCTGCGGCACTCATATTCATCATCGTACGTGTTACACCAGGGTTCAGAAGCCATGCACCGCCGGCGGCGGCGGATACTACAAAGGGTTTAGGTTAAACTCGAGGAGGTTTTCCGTCCACCGGCTCCGGGCAAAGTTCTTCCACTTGTTCAGGCTTCTGAGCAGGCTAAAGTCCCTTTACGCTCGCGCGGTCCGGGCGTTGATGAAGAGAAGCATCGGCGGCAAGGTTGGCGGCCGGAATCTGGGCATTACCAGGGAGATAAACTATGCACTGTACGGCAATAATGGCGGCGGGGAGTTGAGATTGAAGAGTAGTTTCTCGAGGTCCAATTCGTTTTATGCAGAAGCCATAGCTGACTGTCTGGATTTTATCCATAGAAACTCTCTTTCCATGGAGGAAAGGCCAGTTCTCATCAGACAAAACTAAGGTTGATGATGATGATGATGATGGGTGGGAACAGAAGACCAAGTCTTAATTAATT